CTTGAACCTTACTAACTACTCTTATGAAAGAAAATACTGCAGAACATCTTGAAACACATAGTTTATTTGTACTTCCTTACTGTTACATTAAGAGAAAAATAATSACAAAGATGCAATGCCTGAAAAAGATGGAAAAAATTACATCATAGCAGTATTCTTCTGGGTTTTGGTGTGTTTTTTTAATCAATTTCCCAGAATTATGGAGAYGCTTCTAAAACATATTAAAAATAGAAAATAAGATCAAGACAATACAAGGAAGCTTACACTGCTACAAAAGAAAATTCTTAAAAACTACTCTTAAAATGATTCCATATTAATAAAGGGAAGCTCGGTTTTTTGTTTTTTTTTTTTTAAAAAAAACCTGTATCACCTTTAAATTAAAATAGCTATGGTTGGAATCATAGAATGAAAACAAAGAAGTAGCTTTATAATGAAATGAATACCTTTATTTCTAAATACTCTGAYGCAAGGGCCTAGTTTTATTTTCAGCATTTAACGGGAAGGTCAGCTCTGAAAATGCTTATGGGACAGAAAACCTTTTCAAATGGCTCTTTAATTATTTTTGCCAAAAACATTCWATTTGCATGTTTTCTTGATCTTGGATGATCACTTTTACTTGAATGAAAAAATATGTATTTTCTTTTTACAATTGGTACAGCTTTTACAATTGGTTAAGCAGGTCTATGATTAAATTCTTAAAATAAACAAAATCCTATCTGCACCTGAAACAGCTTTAGATCAACAATTAGATCACTGATCACTCTCTCAAACTCCAGAACTCTACATTTTGCCAAAGTGCATGATTTTCAGTATCTTATCATGTAGTTCTTACRTATGTGGCCTTTTCAGTCTTTTCATCTGACCTGGCTCAGTTTTTTAAAATGATATAATAGGCTAATTCACCAGTTGTATGAAAACAGATTTTGATGCAGTTGAGGCATGTTACCAGTGAAGTTCTCCATGTCCCCATGTCCTCTTTTTGCTTGCTTTTTTAGGCTTGGGCTTTTTTTTTAGTGCAATTCTGATTCCCACCAGCTTTTAAAAGCTCTTTTTTCTCCATTAGCATGCAGGGGACCAACCTGATCACACAACTTTGTCACATCTCTCCCTCGTGTAAGGGTGCTCTTCCCTGGTTATGGGGAGYTCCTCCAAAGACAAATTGTGACTAGCAAACTGCTGAGCAGTCAGCTCAATCAACTTCAGGATAGTGAAGAGAATGTAGTGTAGCTTTTCTATGTGTGTCAGTYAACATAAATGACCAAAGTGAGTTATTGATTTTTATTTAAGATAATGACATTCTATCAAATTTCTATTGTTGCATGATGCATGAGATTGAYGTATTACAGGAATTCTCAAACCTGGCATGCTTTTTGTCACCATCCTTACCAATGACAGCACTACACCATGAACCTCACTTTACTCTCATATGGTATTAACAAATACAGTTTCCTTGGTGTGCTCTCTAAGTTCATAAAGGGACTATAAAATGCTCCTTTTGGTCCTAAAATTTTAGAATGCACAAGTGAACTTCAGCTCCAATCTGCAACGCATACTGCTGCATCCATGCAGGKAAGGCTTTCTTCTTCACAGCAGCATGCTGACAAACCGCATGAACTTCAGAACAAATGAAAGATTCCCAGGATTGTTTGTTTCCTCTATTTGCAGACACGCATTTGGGACCTCTAGTGCCTCTCCACACAGGCTAAAAGCTGGTGAAGTGCTGGCTCATGACTGTGTACTTTACTGTGTTCCAGTAATTTTTTTATCACACTCTGGTAACTTCTAGTGTAGAACAAAACTTAAACTAAAGGGTAATTAAAAAGAATTGGCTGATCCACAGAAAATAATTAATTTATTGCAGTAGCTTGCCTGTTTAGCTCTATTTATAGATGTTGAGGCACATGGATTAAGTTACAAGACCCTGAACRGAAGAAATTTGAAGGCACTGTGTTTGAGATACCACAGTGAGAGCAAACATTCTAAATGAGCTTGACTGACTCAAATCCTACGGAAGTGAAAAAAAGGCAAATATTTAGAAATCAAAATGAGTTTAAAAYAAAGGATGGAAGGCAGAATCACATTTATTTCTTCCATATTTGTAAAATGAACAAAGATCTTTAGAAGCTGGRAGAGCTTTTAAGATATGAAGCTTATCTACTTAAAAGCCAGATGTTATGCTTATGGGTTTCTAGTGCAAGAATTTAATTTATTCGTATCTAGTAATTAAATAGTTTAGCATGGCAAGGGAGAGTAAGCTCATTAAAGAAAAACAGCATAAATAAAATGGTGTAGGCTACTGGAAACAGCTGTTGAAATAGTACCAAATGGTGACTATTAAAATGAAAGCTGAAATATTACAGGTAATGAAATRCTATGTCACCTTTATAATAAAGTACTCTTAAAAAATACAAAAAGTTTGGGAAAGTTAAGAGGTGTGGTACCTGGCAATTTCTGTTACTTCACTGTGAGTGCAGAAATTTTCAAAGGATTCCATGAGGGCAATAATCCCAGTCTAGCATTAAACAGTGGAAGTACTTCTTCCTTCACTTGGAATAGCATCCAAGTATATACATAGCACAACAAATTATATCACACTTTGGGATGGTCACATGGTGGTTTTAGCTGGGAATAGAGTAAATTTTCTTCACAGCAGCAAGTATAGGGCTGTGTTTCACACTTGTGCTAGAAACACCATGGTGATAACACATGTATGCATTAATTAATGCTGAGCAGTGCTTACAAGGAGTCAGACTTCTCTGTYGTTTGTGGCTGCTTGGTTTCCTGCCTTTCACCACAAGCAGGCTGTGGGCACACAAGGAGCTGGGATGGGATGGGGCACAGCTARGGCAATGGACCCCGACTGACCACAGGGATATTCCCTATCACGTGGTGTCATATAAAGCTGCCAGAAGAAGAAAGAAGGGGTGGAYGTTTGGAGTGAAGGTGTTTATCTGCCCCTGTTACAGGTGATGGGGCCCTCCTCTCCTGGAGATGACTGAACACCTGTCTGCCCATGGGAAGCAGTGAAWTAATTTCTTGTTTTGCTTTGCTTGTATGTGGCTTTTGCTTTTCCTATTAAACTATCTTTATCTCTGATAACTGAAAATATAACCTACAGCTTTCACAATAAAAAAAACCCCAAATCTGCACTTATTTTTAAGTTTATGTCAGCATATTTAGAAAAGGTTGGGAAAAACAGTATCAGTAYTTATGAATACGTGTCCATTTCTGATTAAAATTGATGGAAAATTTCAAGACAATTGTACCAGATGAATCTGGCACCATAATAATGTAAGACTTGGTTTTATTTCTGATTAGTTGCTTGTGGGAGTGGAATGCTTGTGTCTATCAAGATCCTGCAATACTAATTGGAACTAAGTATAYATGCTCACTTCTCTTTGATAAAGGCATCTTTCACAGAGGGGGAACTTGCAGAGCACCAGCTCTCTGTACAGTCCTCAGACTGTGTCATCTATGGTGYTAGAGGAGTCGAGATGAATTGCTGGAAGAGTTACAAGCTCTGACAGTGAATCTGTGCTCCAGGGGGTTAAGTGAGGAGTTACACATTTCTGAGAAWGAATGACAGTGACGTTCCTCAGGCCTGCTTTATGTACCAGCACACTGTGAAACACTTAGCACAAGTACAGGGCAAATATCAATGGGCATGAATGGGAAGATCACAGTTAAATGTCATCAAGAGCCTTCTGGATAGGAGTAACARCACAGAGTGCCTGTGGAGGATTTTTGGCAAAAGTAATTCAGTGTCTGCTGAGACAAGGAATAGAAGCTTGAGCAAACRACTTTCTGAAAGTTTCTTGACACTATATTGCTTCTTTTTTCTGCAAGGACTTCTAGAATAATCTGGAATGTGCCAATTCTACCTAAAGTTATTTGAACAAGCAACACTCCAAGATCTGTCAGAATCTGTAACACTTATCCTTTGCACCCTCTCTCCTCTACACTTATAACTGTACAACGACTTGTCAAAAAACTTGTTTTTATGCTTTCAATTATAAAAAAAAGAAGATAWTTCTTTTACTTAAATATTAGACCCATTGTGGACAAAATATGACCCAAATTTCAGTTTTAAAAATGCCAGTCTCCTGACTGGAGAACTAGCAAAGGGCCTAAAGATCTCTGCTTTTGCACGGGTTTTGGCACAAAGTCTATTATGTAGTGTTTATAAATGTATTTTTAACAATCATTACGTGGCAGCTCTTGCAGACATCAAGAGAGAGCGGGGCTCTCATTTCCCCGTTTCCCATTGGATACACAAGACAAGGAACACAGGATGGAGTGTGGCCAGCAGGGCAATCCCACAYCCACGTGTAGCGCCGGTGCCGAACGAGCGGCGTGGCCGCTGCCAAACGCGGGGAGCACAGCACGGGCACAGCAATTCCGACACACTGCCAGACGCGATCCACCCAGCGCCTAAGGATGCAAACATCTGGATACTGCTACCCAACAAAATGTCGAGGACAGCTGCGCTTCCAGGCGCCCCGCGGCTGCAGTCTGACACTGACTCAGCCGCCGCTGGGCACAGGGCAATCCCTGGAAGCCAGCCCTTCTCATTTTAAACCTTTGTCCATACTAAAGAGAGGCTTGAGGCGAGGGAGGC